TATATATTTATTTATATATATATATATATATATATATATATATATATATATATATATATATATATATATATATATATATATATATATATGTATGTATGTATGTATATATATACAAACATACATACACATATATAAATATATATATAAGGTTTGATTTAACTTATATATCCAAGATAAATTATATAAAAATTTAAAGGTTCAAATCAATGCTGTTTATTTCAAAAAATAGTTAAATAAAATCATTTATTAAGTTAATTACGATGTAAATGGCTTTCCAGTATTGTTTGTTGTTTTATTAGTTCAGAGTAGGAGGTGGATCCAACCTTTTTCGGTCTTTGACATAGCTAACTTCCAGACATGGAAGCAAGATATCTCAAAGAACCTATTTTGAACCCTCTCAATTTGAGGGAGTTACAAATTTTATATGGTCATAACTTTTGAAGGCTAAAATATTATACCATGAAACCTAATATTTATCGATGAATATAAGTTTAGTTGAAAATAATATAAAAAATATTTTATCATCTTGTTGCTCTTACGTTTAGGGCAGGAGGGAAGCGGGCAAAAATGTTTGGGCTTTTTGGTTTCCAGGCTCTAATCATCGCAAATTTTTGCAAAGCTCCATTATTTGACATAAGTATAATCTCAAACACCCAATAAATGCTGGATCTACCCCTGCCAGAGGAACATTGGCTAGGACACCTTGAACTATCAATTTATAACAGCGTTTTAAAGTTCCCGTAATAAAATCTTGGATATTTTTTTTTTTTAATAGAAAGAAAAATAAATGACAATATTTCAAAACTACAAGAAACTAATAAATAGTTTATATCAAAGTTATTTTATAGTAAATGGTTAAAATTTTTTGTTATAAATAGGCATTTATTATAGACAATATTATGATAAAATATTGTGAAGCAGATCGGTGTTTAGTTTTTTTATTATAACTGTAAGTAGCAACTATGATAATTTGTTTTTCAAACTTTCTAAAACTATTTTACCTGCTATTCACTATGCATACTGATCTTAATTGCCTTGCAACCTTTGTTTAAAGCTAAACATAACTTGCTCCCCTATCCCTAAAGGAAATGGGGCATTTCAATGTCTGTAAAAACTGTAAAACTTTATATAAAAAGACTTGATTGAATATTTACAGTATTTTACAATTTTTTTTGTTGATTTAATGACGTATTTTATTAGTTGATTAATGAAAAGCTGAATATAAAATATTTTTTTCTCCAAATTTGAACTATTTAAAAAAATAGTTCGCAATAAAAATAAAGAACTAATCATTTTGAGGGTATAAATTCCGTCACTATCTTTAAATAAGTGCTTAAGATTTGAGTCTCACTATAACTTTGAAAATTATGCTATACTTTAAAATGGTTTAAATGTATACCGTAATTTGCAACCATTACTGCCAGGTGGGGGATTTGTGTATGTGTTTTATAAATATCATAACAAGCAAATTCAGGGGCAGATCTAGCATTTTTTGATGTTTGAGATATTTTTGATGCTAAGTTCCAGACATGTACATATGTCAATATCTTTGCGCAAAAATTGCGATGATTTTAATCTGCAAAAAAAAACATAAAATTTTGGCCACAACTACCCCAAACAAGAGAGCAACAAGTTGATAACATATTTTTTGCACTATTTTTAAATAAAATTATATTCATCAATAACATCTAAATTTCATAAATTAATATTTTAGCGTTCAAAAGTTATGACCTAATAAAATTTGTAACCCCCTCAAATTGACGAAGGTGGGGATTCAAACATTGAATTGTTATAATTTTTGAACACTAAGAGGTTGTTACTTGAAATTTTGAATTTATCGATGTATAGTTAGGTTAGGTTAGGTTAGGTTTATTCATTCATGGTCAAAAATAAATTTACAAATTTTTTTTTTTGAAAAAGAGCGGCACATCAGGCCTTTCTGTTATGAAAATACAGTTTTTCAATTTCAGAGAAAGTTCGTGTTTGAAATTGTTCAATTTCTTTGCGTCCACCGCATTTTGGGTTGAAGAATTTCATAATCTTGCAACACGGTTGGCCAAGAAGTTGCTTCTTTCTGCGCAGTTTCGGACAAATTGTGCTCTTAGTTCTTTAGTGTGTCCACGCGGCCGAAAACTGTACTTTTAATTAAATACTTTTAGTTTGATATTAAGGGACGTGTAAGTTAACTTTATTAATTTTGCTCATAATTTTATATTGCTCAATAAGGTCTCCTTTTTCTCGTCGTTCAGTTAGTGTTGTCAGGTTAAGGCTTGATAGTCTTTGAGTAATTGAATGTGTTTAAGGGAGGCAATATGTTTTGTGGCTCGGTGTTGAACTTGCTCAAGCTTGGAAATGTCTTGAGCTAAAAACGGTGACCAGGCCTGTACTACGAATTCTAGGTGTGGGCGAACGTACGAAATGTACAGTATACGCCATAATGCAGAACTTCGACGTCGAAAAACCTTCTTGAGCCTGCCAAGCATGTGGTTGTCAGCTGATTCAGCCAAACAGACTTGTTTTTTAACTTTTAGATCGCTCGTCATAAAAACGCCTAGGTCTCGTTCAGATGACGTGCATGATAGCTGGTGCAGTTGGCTGTCCAGGTTAATCATTGTATAAATTGAAGTCGATTTTTTTTGTTGCTGCGCCCGGTGTGCATGACTTTGCTCTTGTCGACATTAAATGACGTGAGCCATGTGTGCGACCACTTCACTGCTTTGTTGATATCGGCTTGGAGTTTCATAATGTCATGGTTTGATTCTATAGTTCCGATTATTTTACAGTCATCTGCATACATTTTAAAGTGGTTTTGTATTTTGTCTGGCAAATCGTTGATGTAGATAAAGAACAGGAGTGGTCCAAGAACAGATCGTTGTGGTTTACCGCTAGAGACTGTTTTCCAATTAGATTTATTATTACCAATGGTTATGCGTTGTAGCCGGTTGGTTAGCCAGCTTTTGATCCATTGGTGCAAGTTGTCGGACACTCCATATGATTTCAGCTTGTGCAGCAGACGACGGTGCGAAAATTTGTCGAAAGCTTTAGCAAAGTCTGTGAATATGATATCGGTTGGGTAACCTTTGCGGGCAGCTTTAGTCAAGATGTTGCAAGTTTCGAGTAGGGTTATGACGCAACCCTTTCCTTTTCGAAACCCGTGATGAGCAGAGCTGATGATTTTATTTTTGTTTAAGTGGTCAGTAATGTGTTTGTGTAAAAAGCTTTCCATTACCTTGCAAGGGACAGAAGTCCGTGAGATAGGTTGATAGTTTGAGCGGTTTAACTTGCAGCTTTTTTAAAAAAATAGGAGCAATTTCGGTTTTTTTCCATTGAGACGGTACTTCTCCAGCTTTAAGCGATTCAGAGAAGATAATGCTCAGTGGGATCGCAAAATCTGCAGTACAGTAATTCAGGACACGTGGGTGAATACCGTCGAAGCCCATTGATTTGGATTTAACCAGGTTCAAAAGTTTTTTTTTGACGGATTCGTATGATGCGAGTGTGGTCGGTTAGTTTATGCTTGTGGAACGAGTGTTGAATGTTAGTTTAAACACTAGTGGTTCGATTTCGAAAACTGAATGGAAATATTTGTTAAAAGTGTTGCAGATTACTTTAGGATCTGCTGTAGTTTGATTATTAGTTGTTTCAAGTTGACGGATACGATCGTGTGTTTCTTGTTTGCTTTTGACGTACGAGTGGATTATTTTTGGGTCATACCTGCTATTATTACCAGTTCCATTTCGTAATCCAGAACGGCTGTTTTAACTAATTTTTTTACTGCTTTGCTTGCTTTTTTATGCTGTTTGCGTAGAGTTGGCTTGTTTGTTCGGCTGGGATAAATTTGCCCAAGAGTTCGCTATTCAATTTGATAGCATTTGCAACATCTTTGATCACCCGTATTTTGTGTATATAAATTTATTTAAGAATAGTGCTAATAATATTTTATTAACTTGTTACTCTCTTTTTTCTAGTAGTTGTGCCAAAATTTTAGGGCATTTTTGATTCCAGACTCCAATCACCGCAATTTTTTGTAAAGCATTCTTATTTGACATAAATATAAACTTATAAATATTTGGAGTTTGTTCCATGTCAGAGAGTTAGCTATTTCAAGCATTAAAAAATGCTGGATCCGTGCCTAAAATTAATTTATTATTATTTTACTGAACTTTTAAATCAAATTTGTTTTCTAATGTCATTTTTATTTTAATGTCATTTTTATATAAAAATCCTTCTATATTTTTAAAATTTTATATATGCAATCTTTGTTACTTTAAAACTCTATAAAAATAATACACTATAAAAAATGGTAATCTAAAAAAGATTTTATTCTTTGTATTTTGCGAGTTTATGTCGTAGTTGAGAGAAGCTAGAAATATGTTATACACTAGCTCAAAAGACAAGCTAATTTGGAAAACATCTAATTTTTCATTGTTACACAAAAGTAATACGTAACATAAAACAATTCAAAGTAATAATTATAAATAAGAATTTTAAGTAACATATAACAATTTAAGCGTTTTATTGCTTTTTTTAAAAAATGCGCGCTTCTTAAATTCATGAGCTTGGTTTAAAAAATTGAATAAAAAATGTGTATTTTTTGCTTGTGGGTCTTTACTATTTTATATTTTTGGTAGAAATATTTTAAGAATACCCAAATAGACGATGATAAAACGCATATTTTTGAAAAAAAGAAATGAATTTCATAAAACTATATAGTTTTATGACAACAAACAATTTTCAACCCTAGTCAAAACAAACTAGCCTTGTCACTAATGCAGATTTTATGTATTTTTTTACTCTGTATGTATCAAATTTTTTGATTCTGTAAAGTACTATCAAACTTTGAAAATATATGATAGATTATATGATACGTCTATTCATATATATTTATTTATATTCATTTATATTTTTAATTTTATTTTAAAGTATTACAAAAACATTAAGTAGTTTTTTTTTTTTTTTTTTAAATGTAATAAGGTTTTATTTGAAAAAAATTTACTTACATGTAAAATGCTTTGTTTGCAATGAAATCAAATTACTTTCTTCTGAAGACTGCAACTCTTTCAATTCTGTTTTCATCTTAGGTCTGAAATATCGAGTAATAGTAAACAGTGTCTAAAATACCATTCAAAATACTTAAGCTTTTGTGAGCTTTTGACATTTGAATTAAATGCTCATTAAATAATGTTGCTAACAATTTATATGCTGAAACCTTTCTTTTTTTAATTTTTTCTTTTTTTAAGTACTTTTAGGTACGAAGTAAGCATGTAACATACTATTTTGCATTTAGTGTTTAAATAAATAACGTATAGATAACACAACCAAAATTTTTGAACTTTTTCCAGTCTGCGCATTATTGAAAAAAATTTGTTATGTAAACTTTAAATGTTGCATATATGTAACATTTAAAGTTTACATAACAAATTTTTTTATATGCGACAATTATTGTTTATATATAAACAATAAATGTTGCATGGAAAAAATTTATTTTAATGTTAAACTACAAAAATACACAATTTTACAGTTAGGCTGAAACTATAGTAAAACGTAAACTGCACGGTTTGTTCAGGCATCTTATGGATTTTTGAGATGCTAAAAAGTGAGAAAATTAATGGTGTTGAGACGCACAAACTTTGTAATTTAGTATGCTGTAAGGAAATTCTTAAAGATAAAAAATAAGTTTACAAAAAGCTTATAAAAAAGATTTAGCTGTGCGAAATCAATCTTGCTTGGTCACATGCGAAAAGTAGGTCACGTGCGAAAATAATCTTGCTAAGTCACGTCACACTTTTAAAATTCAGATCAATTGACTAGGGTACTAACTATACTTGGGCTCTGTTAGGGAGTAGTTAAAAAATTTAAAGTTAAGACACCTCAAATAATTAATTCTAAACTTTTGATAACATTTGTTGTTGTTTTTTTTTGTTGTTTTTTTGTTGTTTTTTTTTTTTCGCTTTCGGTTGATTATGGTGCATTACTCCTAAAATGCTAGTCTTCGCATTAGAAAATGCATTCTTTTAAAGATAAGGTCGAATTACACATTTGCATACTCTTTTATGTAATCAAGTCAAAATAGAATATAAAAAAAAACGTAAACGTAAACTTATTAAGAAATAAGTAAAAATAAATATAAAAGTTATTAAAAACAAAAAGACCGTTTTAAACTACTAATGACAATTTTCTATTCAGGTTCTTTGCTTACGAGGAAATCTTTTTGAGGTAATGCCTTATTTGACGGAAATTTTTAAGTGGAACACGTGGTTTTACCGTGTTGCTGGGTGACCTGCGAATGCTCTATTGTTATCCCTTGTTGGTAAACTAAATAACGTAAAACCAATGATATATTATATAACTAGATGTCTAACTTCATTACGAAAAGTGAAGCCGCTTTTTGGCTTTTTTACAAATGGCGGATTAAATTTGTAAACCAATATTTTTAACTTTTCTTTTCTTAAATGAAGTAAATATATTTTAAATTTAAATACTATTTACGTAAAAGTGTTAAGCGGAAATGATAATAATTGTAAAATAATAGTTTATGATTCCTTAATTTATTTTCGATTAAAAAGGATTAAATTTTGAATAGAAAAGTAAAACGTCTTACTATTTTGAAGCACTGAATTAAAATTGGAGTTTAAATAGTGCGAGAGGGGGGGGGGGAGAGGCTAGAGGAGGCAGGTACTTTTCTGCGAGATTTCATTTCTAGCGGGTACAGAACGTTAGTTGGACGTCTTAGAAATATCATGCGGACTTGTGACGTCTGTAAGGAGTTATATAAAGGTCCTACGGATGTCTGTGCCCTCTGTGTTAAAGAAAAATGGTTTATTGATAGTTAAGTCAATGCTCTCAGCATAAGTCAATGCTCTCAGCAAGCTCACATTTGATTAAAATTAATCTCAATCCAAAAAGACATTATTTTGTCATTGTTAAAAGTTTAAAAAGCATAGAAGTTTTATTAGACTAAAGATTATCACAAATTATCACAGATAATTATTGATATTCTTTATTCTAATGAAACTTCTACTTTAGTCTACTGAAACATCATAAGCAGGTGTAAAAGGAAGAGTCAAGACGATGTTGTAGAGTATAGACAAGTTAGGAAAATATGATGTTATCTATTTCTCAATTAAGAATGAATGTATGTCTTTCATTTTTAGTTTAGTCTTTATTCCTGGAGGTATTAATGCATACATTTAGGGCCGGCACAAGTATGTTTGAAGTGGGGAGGGGATGCCATAAAATTTAAATTGCTCCACAATGTTAAAACTAGTTAATGTGTACGTTTTTTGTTTTTCTCCTTAAAAAAAAAAGTTATGTACCGTTTGCAAAGTTATTGTAGTTTTCTGAACATCTGTCATTGCATATTAACAGTAGTTTTGATACACCAAACTATGTTAAAAATGCAGTGACAGGTGTTCACTGCATTTTTAACATAGTTTAATACTTTTTTATCATTTTTATTTTTATCCATAAAATGGATAAAAATAAAAATGATAAAAAAGAAATTCAAACAAATACAGAAGCTTCTGAAATATCTGTGAAATTAGTTCGTGAAATATTCTCTGAGATGTTTAAGAAACAGCAAAAGGACATTCTCAAACTTATTAGTGGTAATTTAAAAATTACAAATGAAAGAATTGATGGGCTGTTGAAAGAATTAACAGAAATCAAAGAAACGTGCAAAACTTTACAAAATGAAAATAATCTCAGAAAATTTGAAATGGTAAAAACAAATGACAGAGTCTCAAAAATTGAACACACTCAAAAAGATATTGAAAACAGCATAACTTTTACGCAAGATACCCAAGAGGAAAAAATCAATAAAATTGAAGAAAAAATTGTCTCAAAAGTAGCATTTAATGCAGAAGAAAAAAATAAGCTGCGTCAACTGGAAGATCGACTAAGAAGAAACAATCTGCGGCTTGAAGGAATAACTGAAAGCGAATCTGAAAGTTGGAATGAATCTGAAGAAAAAGTTTTAAGTATCTTTGAAAAACAACTAAATGTAAGTGGCGTAGTTATCGAAAGGGCGCATAGAACCGGAAAAATCGGGCAGAGTAAACCTAGATCAGTCGTGATAAAACTCCTGAACTATAAAGATAAAATTAACATATTAAAGAATTCAAAAAAGTTAAAAGGAACAGGAATATTTATAAATGAAGACTACTCTTTGGATACCCTAACCATACGTAAAAAACTCTTTGAAGAAATGCGAGCTCACAGGAATAACGGTAAATATTCTGTCGTTATTTATGATAAATTAGTAGTTAAAGATTTTAAAAAATCTCATAAAAATGCTTAAAGTTTATTTATTTTTTGTATATATTTTTTGTAATTTAAATAGTATTTTTATTTATTATTGCTAAAATGGCGGAAGCCAGCAATAATAATGTTTTTGACATATCAGGAAGGAAAAACACACTAAACCGAAGTAATGACGATGATAAAAATATTAACATTTTTGACGAAATTTTAGTAGAAACGGCTTATTACAATGTTGACGATGTTAATCATGTTCTTAATTCTTTATCATCCCATTTTTCATTATTACATTTAAACATCAGAAGCATAAATAAAAACTTTGATAATTTAAAATTTATGTTAAATAATATAAGTAACAAGTTTAGTATTATCTGTCTGACTGAAACTTGGTGTCATCGAGACACGATTAATTCTAACTTTCAATTATCAGGATATAAATCCATTCATCAACCTAGAGTAAACGGCATTGGTGGGGGCGTATCAATTTTCGTCCAAAACTCATTGACTTTTAAGTACATAGAAAACCTCAAAGTAAATGACGTTGATTGTGAGTCATTTACAATTGAAATAATTAATAAAACAAATAAAAATGCATTTATAACACCATTATATAGACCACCTAATGGTAATTACAATCAATTTGAAAACCACTTAAACTACTTGCTACCAAAGCTCATAAAAAAACATGTGTATTTATTAGGTGATTTTAATTTGAATTTTTTGAATTATAAAACAGATAACCACGTCGTGCGTTTTACAAATACACTTTTGCAGTACAATCTTTTCCCTATGATTAACAAGCCAACACGCGTGACTAAAACAACTGCATCCATTATCGATAATATTATTACTAACAATTACACAAGCGTGGAATGGCAAAGTGGTATTATTAAAACAGATATAACTGACCATTTTCCAGTTTTTCTGAGTACATATTCTGCAAACCCTGAGAAACATACAAAAACAAAAACTGTATATGAAAGAAAAATAAATAATGAATCACTCGCCACGTTTCGAGACCTCTTACAAGAAGTAAACTGGGAACTATTGACTGATTGCAATGACGTAAATAACGGCTATGAATTTTTTATTCACGTGTTCACTAAGCAATACGAAAAGGCCTTTCCAAAATTTAAAAAAATTATTAAACCTAAAAGTTTGCTTAGTCCGTGGATGACGAAAGGACTCATTAAGTCGTCAAAAAAGAAACAAAAACTTTACCAAAAATTTCTTAAAAAAAAGAACTACAAAAACGAAACAAAATACAAAAAATATAAAAATTATTTTGAAAAATTAAAAAAGCAATCAAAAAAAAATTACTACTCTTCATTACTTAATAAAACATTTGGCAATGCAAGAAAAACTTGGAATGTAATTAAAGAAATAACAGGCGTGGGTAATGTAAAAAAAGACAATTTCCCAAAAAGATTACAAAGAGATGACAATTTAGGTGATGCTTCTGTAAATAAAGAAATTGCAGAAACATTTAACAACTTTTTTATAAATATAGGAAAAAAACTAGCCGATGCAATTCCGGAGGGAAAAAAATCATTTAAATCCTTTTTGAAAAAATCTGATTTCTTCATGGATGAGTCAGAGCTTTTGATTGAAGAACTTCGGCAAGCGATTAGTATGCTTAAATCAAATAAAAGTGCGGGTCTGGATGAAATTAAACCTGATGTTGTAAAAGCTGTCTCTGATATCATAGAGAAACCCCTTTTCATAATTTTTAATCTATCCCTAAAAAACGGCATTTTTCCCGACCAACTTAAATTAGCAAAAATAATTCCAATATACAAAAGCGGCGACGACTCAATAATATCTAACTATAGACCGATTTCCATACTTTCCTGTTTTTCCAAAATATTAGAGCGTATTATGTTCAACAGGCTGTACAATTATCTTGAAAAAAATAATATTCTTTATCATAAACAGTTTGGTTTTCGAAAAAACCATTCTACGGAACATGCCGTAATTGATCTTGCGAACCAAATTTTACAAGGTTTTGAAAACAATTGTTACACACTTGGAATTTTTCTAGATCTATCAAAG